ACCAGGGGCAGAGTGGGGGAAAGAACCCAGGTGTCCCCCGCATTAGTCACACAATGCCTTGCTAATTGGGGCCACCAGAATGGCTTAGAAGTGTCAAAGCGTCAGAGAAGCACAAGAACTTGGGGCATTAGCCACTTGCATATTACTGAACACACTAGCTCAGTCAGAAAACAAACAGACAGAGTAAGAGAGGCGGGCGGGAGGATCAAAAGCCATGGGGTTAAAGCAGTAGAACTAAAATTAGACTCCAGTCTGGCTACTGTGACCGTTACAAGCAGTTCCCTTCCATTTTCCAGAACTAGCTATAGTACATGTGAATGTGTTTATTGGGGAAGGCCCAATCCTATAAAACCTTGCTCATAGGAGTAATCCTTAATAGTCTATGAGAAATCTTTCCCCATGCAAGTGAAGGACTACTGTCAAGACTATTGTGTAGTAAGAACCCACTCCTGTTCCAGTAATCACACCCACTTCAGCAGGGTAACTTGTCTGGGGCCACAGGGACCCTTATGAGTAAAGAAGGCCCTTATTCTCCATACACCAATGCTCCCCCATCAAATAAAAAAACCCCACCAGATCACACCACTTTCCACCACTAACAGAGTTCTGATTGGGGCCCAATTCCACAAGCTTTACTCACCGGTCGAGCTCTTATTCGTATCCCACTGAAGTCAGTAGAGCTACTTGCATCGTTCCTTACTTGCGTAAGGGTCTGCAGAATCAGGCTCATGAATTATAAAGATATCTAGGCCAAACAAATGAAACACACACACAAAACACTCAGCCCAGAACAGGCTCAGTCTAAACAATGTAGAGCACACTTGCTATCTGGCACCATCTATTAGCAATTAAAGAATATCCACAAAAATATATATGATTGTGCTCTATTTTTTTCCTTTTAACATTTTTGCTACACATAGCAGCCTGGGAGATAGTGATCAAAAAGAAAAAGTAAGTCAGCCTTCTTCAAACTCATGCAACATCTGTAACTTATAAAAGACACCAAAGAGAAATCTTCTAAATTCAACTTATTTTATGGAGTGCTTGTGTGGAAAAAAATAAGTGTAAATGCAGGCCGCCCTCCCTCCCCCACTCCAATCAGATAATTAAAAGGCCTGCCTTAATCATATTTGCAATGGAACAAATTGTTGGAGCCCTTTCGCCTTCTCTTTTCAGTGTTTGTTATTGTAGCGAATCCTGCTCCAGTCTGGTTGGTAGAGATAAGAAGCCCTTATCTCACTTGGCAATCTTTATCAGTATGGAGATCAGGCCCCAGAACTTATCAGGAATTCAGATCTACCGTAGCTGAGAGCAAACCCAGAAAGGGAAAAAACAGGCAGGCCCATGTAACGACTGTGAGAATTTTCACTTCAAGTTAATGTAAAAAATTATATATATATATACATATAATAAAAAGACACACACAGCCACATCAGCAACATGAGATCAATCTCCTTGTTTATCAATTTCCCTCATCTAAAAAGCCAGAACTGTAACTACATGAACATGCAGCTGCCAAAAGGTTCACTCATTTTATATATGTGCCCACACTCCCATGTTTGAAGTTAATAAATGTAACAGGCTATCTAGGTTTGAGATCAGCTCCCTGCTTCTTATCAGCCATTCACATCTATCTAACAGCAGAACAAAAGACACACAGAAAAGAGCGAGCAGGCAGCTGCATCTGAGCTTGCTGTATTTTCATAGCCTTTGATAAATACTGATGGCGGGGGAGGGAGACAAATACAGCCTTCATCACTAATGGAATCAGATTAATTACCTGATCTGTTGCCACCCACCCCAAAATCGAGCAGTGACAGGCACAGAGGGCCAGCAACTCAAGCAGCACTCAACAGAAGGATTCTCTATCAAATTAAATATAGAATGCACCGGGCATTGTCATCAACTATCTGAACTACCATCAGTGCCTAGTTACAATCAGATGACATGTGGAGTTCAGGCATTAAAAAAAGCTAAGCATAAGCCAGGCCAAAACTACCATGGGGAATAACGAAAGCAGACATTGCTGGCACCTTTTTCTAATGCCCCTTGTAGAGCAATTCTAACTGATGCTTCACAGGGTGCATACCACTAGCTCGCTCTTCCCAAAACGTTCTGCTGCAAACCAAGGGGTTGTAGTATTTTGGCCCTTCCTGTCAACTCTGGACTGGCAGGCCCAGGGCCCAGTTGTTTGCATTTTAGGATTTAAGGAGCTTGTTAAATTAAAAAACATTCAGCATTAAAAAAAAACAACAGTTGGTTAAATATAATCCAGCATCTGATCTTTGTCTTATCACTTTTGGCAATCACATGCGCTCCCCGAGATCTCCCTTCTGAGCTATCTGCATTTCACATCAAGCTGAAAAAAGCAGAACAGAGAAGCACAGAGGAAAAATAAAATAAGCAGATAAGAATCTGGGGAGGTTTTAATGCTTCAGCTGAGACGATGTAAGTATAGACTTTATGGAAACAGGTCCCGTTTGTACATCATAGGAGTATAGTTACCAGACCCCTGATTCATGCCCACTTTTCCCTTCTCAGGAGAGTGCAGTACAGACAGCAGAAAGCTGCTCTCACAGCACTATATATCTCTAATGACTGTTTTTATGTTGACACATACAGGAAGGGTTCCAAGCTTTCAGCTTTTAATCAGTTTTGGCCATCACCATCAGCCTGAGATCAGCCTCCCACTTTATCATTTCTTCATATCTCTGAAGAAAGCAGAAGAGGAAGGAGACAGAGCAGCCTTCAGTACAGCTAATGCATTCAGAATGCTGCCCATCCTGGCAAACATCACAATCCATCTCAAGATCACCTTTTACTCCTTTATTAAGCAGAGTACGTCTTGCAGAGGTGACAAGGAAGGAGCTGAGAACAAATGCACAACAGTGGTTCACCGAGACCTAGCAACTCATGCAGACAAACTGGATGGAAAGTTTAAAATAAAGTCTGGCAACAGATCTATGCTGGAGGACAAATTTGCGTGCTATTAATATGTACCCTCCTCAGTGGAGCCTTGGCAGACCTGAAGGGCACTTACTTCCTGTCACAAACGAGTGCGGATCCCACACACTGAAATACTTATCAAGAAAAAGATCAGCATTGTTATTTCAGCAGCTGAGTGTTCAATGCAGAGATGCTGCCATCAGCTTCTATAGTCACTTCAGCTAATTAAGATGGGACGGTTACACAGGAGCCCAGCCATTTGCTCAGGGCCACCAAGAAGGTGATATTTCTTGACCAGCAATGTTTGCCATGACACTGCAAAAAGAAAGCAGCAGAAGTTGGATGAAACTTTTTTGTAAAAGGCAGACAGAAGTTGAAAGTAACTATTTTTAACTTCCCAAGCTGTAAAGGTCTGATTCAGCCTTATCAGCAGAATCACCCCAGGCAGGCAAACAGGTAGATGCAATGCAGTATTGCAATTATTTCAAAAGAAAGATAAAGCAATATTATCGCATGGTGGCCAATTTTATCCCCAACATCTCTGCTTTATCACCAGTTGAGATCAGGAGAAAAGAAAAACGTTGCTAAACCAGTCACTGGAAGAGTTCCAGCAGTCTATAGAACTTCCCAAGAATATGCAACAATAATCTCTTTCATCTTTGCCAGACCTGAAATCAGATTTTCCTTGGTTGATCAATTGGGATCACGGAAAGAATGATAATCCAGAGGCATTAGCATCAGCCAGGGGAAACTTGGACAGAGCCAGAAAAACAAAGTAATCCAATGGCAGTCTCTACCGGGCTTTTATCACAACATTATCAGTTCTCCCAAATCTTAGTGTGCTTGCAGAGTGAGGTGGGATGGACAGGAGCTCCCCACAATAAAAGGGACGGGGGGGGGGGAAATAACCAGGGCACATTTTGGTTACAAGGTCTGCAAAGGAGTTTTTAAAAAGTAATATGCACAGCACAGTGAGCAGATCTGCGATAAGATGATCCCACTTAAAGATCTCCAAACACTTCGCATCACGTTTTTCAAAAGTCCCCCTGGATGAGGCTTTTTTAATGCCATGGATGGGAGTCAAACATAGATAAGATCACAATTTCAGACCGTCCCGACAGAGCGATCTTATCAGGATGGGGCTTGCTGAATGGAATATGTTAAAGCTTTATCTCAGCTCTGATCAGAGGAGGCTGTATCATCTCTGTGGAAGGAGAGAGAGAGGGGAAGGAGAAGGGGGGGGGGGGCACTGAAAGAAAATAAATAGGCAAGCCGGACACAAACTTCTGCAACCACAGGCAGAAATCCTGAGCAGCCTAATTGGACCTTGCGGTACCAGCACGCGCGCGCACACAGCTCTGCCCGGTGTGGATATTAGATTACAGGTCCCTGGGCAAGCAGCCAGCCCCGCAGCTCCCCAACAGAACCCACGGAGGGGAGGCAAGAGGTGATGTGGAGAGCGCAGGACGCCCAGAAAAATGCACCAGGGGAGGGGGGGGAAAGTGACAAACACAAGACCCGAGCAGCTGCCTGCGAGACGCACTAGGGACCAGCCACCCCGGAGCTGCCTCTCCTAAATTCGCCTCCTGACTGTCCGGGCTGTAGCCGCTCCGCTTGCTGGAGGCTTGGAAAGCTCGTGGTTTAACCACCCCAAACACAGCCCCCGCCAGCTCTGCACGGGGCAGGAGGAGGACAGGCTCCCTTTGCCCAGGGAAGCGGATCAGGGGCATTGTCCGTGTAGGAGGGAGAGAGTCTGGACTGACTGTAGCTGGGAAACAGAGCAGCGGTGGGAAGAGAGATCCACGGGCAGTAACAGCTGGTGCTAGGAGTGGCGGGGGGGGGGGGGGGCTCTGGACTAGGATTCCCTTTGCCAGGGGTTGGGAAGGATCCGGGTGTATTGACAGCTGGTGACTGGGGGGAGGGGCGGCCCAGGGACACTAACAGCTGGTGACTGGGCGGGAGGGGAAGGGGCGACCCAGGGGCACCAACCGGGCGGGCGGGGGGCTCAGGCTCCCTCTCCCTGCGGAGGGGAGGGCGCAAAGTTTGGCACTCACGTTTGATCTGCCTGGGGTTGCTCTGTTTCCTCCTGGACATTGCTCGGCAGTCAGCGTGCCCGCTCCCTCCTCCGGCTGCTCGGACGGCGGCAGGTCGCTGGCAACTCGGGAGGGCGGCAGGCACCCGGCTCTCATGCCCGCCAGGCGCTCCCAGGGCTGGGGAGGGAGGGTTCGGAGCCCCGGCGCGGGGAGACGGGCCCCGGGCTCCCAGCTTGTGGCGCGGTACCGTCCCGCGGGCTGGGAGGGCGGGGGGGGGGGGGGACCCGGGCTCCCGCCGGCGGCCACTAGGGTCCGACTCGGATTTTTCTCAATGGAACCTGAAATGTAACAAACCCGCTGAACGTTCCATTCGGGGCGGGGCTTTCCCCGGCCGCTCGGAACGGCGGCCGCCCATTGGCCGCCGCCCTCCGGCTGGCCGCGCCCACCGGATGAGGCGGACACGCCGCGGCGGCGGCGGCGGCGGGGGCGGGCTCCGGGGCGAGGCAAAGGGGGAGTCCTGGGGCCGGAGCTGAGGGATGCTCCAGTGGAGCGGAGCCGGGAGAAACGGGCGGAGGGGTGGCGGAGCAGGGCAAGTCTGAGCCCTGCGAGAAAGCGGGTTGGGTTCCTAGGCTAGGAAGCCGCGGGTGCCCCCGGCAGGGGAATGTTGGGGGGCCGGGGAGGGGAGTTTCGGGGTTGTTCCCCCCATCAATGACAGGGGAGTTTAACAGCAAGGGTGAGGTAGTCTGGGATGCCTGAAGTAATTGGCACCAGCTGAGTGAGTTTCCTTATTTCTGTACACAAAAGAATAAATAAATCCCCCCATCTTGTTATAACCCCTCAGCTCTCTCCCTGTCCCCTCTTCCGGGCTCATCCTCCTCTCTCATCTAATATTTGGATTGTCAGTTCTTTGCAGTAAGTCCTGTGGCCCAGATTCCATTTATATCAGTGGGAGATAGGCCCAGAACCCAGAAGCTATTTACACCTATGTCTATCTTTGTCCTCTCTGACGCACCTAGCACTCCGGTGGGCTGCATAAAATAATTATTTGCTTAGCTTTTCACCTCTAGAGCACTTCACCACAAACCTAATAACCCTGCCATGAGGTAGGTCCGTATCGTTTTTCACCAGCGGCGAAACTGAGGCATAGAAAAGTGAAGTGGTTTGCCCAAGCCCATAGAGAAAGTCAGGGTCAACGCTGGGATAAGAACGCAGCAGTTCTTGGATCCCGGTCCACTGGACCCCACCTTTTCTGCTTATACTGTAAAGTGAGAACCAAAACAAGACTAAAGGGTGCTGCACTCAGGCGTGGGCTGGTAACAGGTTATAGTGATGGAGAACTGCACTCGTTTTGCTTAGTCCAGCATTCCAACAGGACAGAATACAGAGGAAAAGGGAAGTCAAAAGGGGAGTATAAGAGAACCTGTGGTTCTGATATGGGAAGCCGGCAACACTTCTTGGACCTAATCCCTTGATTTCATCATTATGGCCTATGCACCACTCAATACTTTCTCTTTTGCTACCTCTCTGGTTACAACATACATACATCATCTATCTCCTCTACTCCTCCCAGGATGTAGCTTTGTCTCTTGTTTTCCTACCACAGGTTGCTATAAATTCAGATGGGGTTTAGACCCACAGGCCTAGAGAAAAAATGGCCAGTCAAAAGCACTTCAGAGCCATCCATTGAGGAAGGAGGAAGTCACCTCGTTGTAGCTAATGGGAGTCATCCTTTGCTCTTTGGCCTTTTACCCCTTTGGCTCCTGGAGTGAGGAACTGGACGGAGCATCCAACCAATGCTGGTCCTTGGGGCTAACTTTTCAGCCGTGGTTACAGTCATAAAAGTTGGGCAGTTGGGTGACTAGGAGCAGTTAATGTTCAAGGAGGGCAGAACATTTGTGGAATCAAAGGTGAACCACGCCAGCCAAATTTTGCTCTCAGTTATCCTTGTGCAATCTTACTGAAACCAGTGGGGTTCCACAGATGGGGAGGCTGGGCTTGGCCCACTGTTCCTAGACTGTTCAGCTTCAAGCTCCTTAAATCCCTCAGATTTTTGACAATCTTATTTTCTCTCTCTAAACATTTTGCTTTAGAAGCAGAAAGCTGCCAGGGCTGCAATGCTGCGGGAGCTCCGAATTCTCAGCAGTAGTGCTGCTTTCTGACATTGCCAAGGACGAGTCTGCCAAGAGTTTGTTCTCCATCTGTCCCTCCTTTGCAGACTGGGCCGTTTTTGTCTCAGATCTGTTGTTTATCTGCCACTGTTCAGAATCCAAGCCTTAAGGGCAGAGAACTACTGTAGGCTTGTCTGTGCCTCTCCCACGGCTTGATCCTCGCAATAGTCATGGGAGGTAAGGAAGCACTATTGCTTTCATTTTACACATGGGAAACTGAGGCACAGAGAGGCAATGTCACTTGTTCAAAGTCACACAGTGAGTCAGTGACATAGGTGGGAACAAAATGCAAGAATTCTGACTCCCAGGCCTTGATCAAACAGCTTGATCAAGTGAGGTTTTAGCTCAACAAATAGGAAACCATATTTTATAAAACTCACTTAACTTTAGAAAAGGAAAGGTTAAAAAAAACCTCAGTATGTTTAGTCTTGAGAAAAGAAGACTGCGGGCAGACCCTCATAAGAGACTTCAAATATATTACGGGCTGTTCTAAAGAGGGCTGTGATCAATTGTTCAGAGGTCCACTGAGGTAGGACAAGAAGTAATGGGCTTAATTGCAGCAAGGGAGATTTAGGTTAGATGTTAGGACAAACTTTCTAGCTATAAAGATAGTTATGCTCTGGAATAGGCTTCTGAGGGAGGCTGTGGAATCCCCATCATTGGAGGATTTTAAAAACAGGTGGGACAAACACCTGTCAGGGATGATCTAGGTTTACTTGGTCCTGCCTCAGCACCAGGGGCTGGACTTGATGAACTCTCAAGGTCCCTTCCAGCCCGACATTTCTGTGAGTCTATGAAACGAGAAGGGCCCTAAGGCCCTAAGCATCTCTATACAATACAATTTAAAACCACATTTAAAAAAAATTCAGTCCAGCCACTGCCTACATCCCCTATCCTTTTCTGATTATTCCCATACCAGCAACTACCCTTTTCAGCTTTCTGTGTCTCTCTGCCAATGACCCCAAATACACCAAAAATAAAGTCCTATTGTACAGGGCAAAAAATCATCAGGGTCTGCTCATTGTGTGAGCCTTGTGTTGCAACAGGATGCACAAAGGGAAAGTGACCAATAACCTCCTAAAACACACAACAAAGTAACTGCAGGCTGAGCCCATATGTTAGTTTGTTCCCAGAGCTCAGATGCCAGTGCTGTCCAGAAATAGCTGTGAGCTAGGTGAGAGAGCATTCTGTGTAACGGGCATGCAAATGAGCACCCAGTGCATCCCATTTTCCTTTGAAATCCCCGTCCCCAGCATTGCTGCTTGCAAGCAGCCTTTGAACGGGAGACAAATTCAGCATATTCCACAGACGTGCTTCAAGGGCCTTTTCGGAGTCATCACTTCAACCATCAGTGAGGTTGTCTCCTGGCTTTTGGGGTATATATGGTACCGTTATGGGCACAATGGTAATCTTGCAAGCAGATAACAGGGTATGTGGATTCCTGCCATCATCGGAGAAAGACTGAAAGACTGTAGGCACTGCTGTCTCCAGTCCAGCAGGCAAATGCTCAGCACGGCAAGACTTGCTGACATTGATCAACGCTCCTCTTTTCTTTTCTTTTTTTAAGGGTTTTTAATTAACATCCTGTTTCAATCATGAGTTTTAAGCACCACATGATTCCAGTAAAGAGGTCAGGCTCGCCATGAGGATGTCAGAATGAATTAAGTTAGGGATTAGGAAGAGTTCCAAGGGGCGGAGAGAGATCTTGCTGTGGGAAATGGTTCACTGTCACTGCAGTTGTCAAATTCTGCTACCAAATTGGTCGGGGCCAGTCACCCGAAGCAGCCTGGGTAGCACATAGTCAGTGTTTGTCTTTATCCTTCTGCACATTTCAATTCAGCTTCTAGTCTTGCTGGTTGTAGGTTCACATTAAACTGCAGGGCCGACAGATCTCCTTCCAGTTCACGCAGGCGCTGTGGTCTCGATCCTGCCCCAACTTACACCCAGCAGCGGGACTACCCACGTGTGTCGAATTGAGCACGTGTGTAAATCCGTGCAAGACTGGGGCCCATGGGAGTTTCTCACACGTGGAGCTCGACTGTCCTCTGCACCAGCTCATGATCAATCAGGCATAACTCCGTCGAAGGTGGGAGCGGGAGGTACAATGGCGAAAGGGAGAGGAGAATCACGTCCATCCTCTTTAGAAAATTCTATTTAGCATCTTTACTTTGTATCAGAAGGGGCTAGAATCTCTCTATAGCCGCGGGTGTCAGACCTTCGGAGCACCATTATGACAGTAAGGAGCTTACTGGCAGGATGGAAGCCCAATTGGCTGTGGCCAATTTCCATATACATTGAGATAATTTCAGAAATAAATGCACAACGGTAACACTATTTACTGAGCACCTCGCCTGGTTGCTTACGCGTGTGTCTCTCTTGACAGACAACGAGAGAAATTGCTTGGTTGACTACAACAGAAACAAAAACCACGCAGCTGCTGAGGTTTGTGCTCATACCGCAGCAGTGTGAGTCAGAGAGAGTGAGAGAAAGACAGGGGAGGTGCCTTTAGCAACTGGGGAAAAGTCAGGGGTCCCACAGACAATACAGCAAATGCATGTAGCCCAGGGACCAAATTCAGTACACACCCTGGTGTAAATGCAGTGTGACTCCACTTACACCAGTGCAAAGTGATCGCGGAAAGTGTGTCGCTTATCAATATTTTCCTTTTCACTTAGACACGAAACTCATCCATGTTTGCAACTGTTTTGGTTCAGTCACAACAACCTGAGAGAACACGAGCGACCTTAACCAAGGGTGAGGACAAGGCTGAGGCTAATCAGATACCAAGTGCTGGCTCTGGGGCAGAAATGCAGGAATAAATGGCTTCAAGGAATCTGTGTTGTTTGGACTGTCACAGCATGGGCCTATTTCTACCAGCCGTGAGCAAAGGGAGGAGCAGCTGAGGGTTGAAGGTGACGGTAAGACTGGGTTTCCATTATACCTTCTACTGTTGTTTTGGCCCGGATCCTGCAAAGACTTGGGCACATGTTTAGCTTTACTACTTGGAGTAGGCCCATTGATTTCACTCATGGTAGTGAAGTTAAGCATGTCTTTGCAGGATTGGGGCCTTACTGCCTTCTCGCCCATGAGTGTATATTAAATGGAGGTTGGTAGGACAAACATTTGCCCTCCAGCTCAATGAATCATAGAATATCAGGGTTGGAAGG